AAAAAACAAAAAAAAAAAAAAACAAAAAAAAAACTACAAATCCTAAAACTACAAAATGTAAAGGTCCATGTTTCTCTCTGTGTCGTTTCCTGGTCACACACAGACCTGGAGTTTTGTTTTGTTTCATTCACACGTTTACAGTGTCGGGGAGTAACAGATTACATGTACCGGAGTAATCAGAGTACAAATGATGAGTAACTGTATTCAGTTACAGTTACTGTTTCAGTGAGTGGTAATTGGATTACAGTTACTTTGCTAAAATAAAAGGATTACATGGTGGGATTTTCCTGTTTTCACATTTTGGGCTAAATCCCTTTTTTTTTTTTTTTTTTTTCTTCTTGGTAATTCCACTCATTGCCGGACACTAAACCAGGTCTAAAACTACGTCTAAACCAGGTCTAAAACCAGGTCTAAACCAGATCTAAATCAGGTCTAAAACCAGGTCTAAAACCAGGTCTAAACCAGGTCTAAAACAGGTCTAAAGGTCTAAAACCAGGACCAAACCAGATCTAAATCAGGTCTAAAACCAGGTCTAAACCAGGTCTAAACCAGGTCTAAACCAGTCTAAACCAGGTCTAAACCAGGACTAAAAAAACAAGAATAAACCAGGTCTAAAACCAGGTCTAAACCAGGTCTAAAACCAGGTCTAATCCAGGTCTAAATCAGCTCTAAACCAGGTCTAAACCAGGTCTAAACTAAAACTAAAACAGGTCTAAAGGTCTAAACCAGGTCTAAACAGGACTAAACCAGGTCTAAACCAGGTCTAAACCAGGTCTAAACCAGTCTAAACCAGGTATAAACCAGGTCTAAAACCAGAACTAAACCAGGACTAAATCAGGTCTAAAACAGGATTTAACAGGTCTAAATCCTGCTGTGTGGACGTGTTTCTTCTTCTTCTATCAATAATATTTTTTAATTTGGTTCAGTAAAATCTGGACTTTTTATTTTCTTTTATCAGACAAAATTTCTTATGTGAAGATTTCCTTGTTTTTGTTTCTCTACAACAAATCAAGTAATCCAAAGTAATCAGATTACATTACTCACTTTAAGTAATTTAATGGATTCTGATTACAAACTACATTTTGGGGTGTGTAATCTGTAATCTGTAGGGGATTACATTTTAAAAGTAAACTTCCCAACACTGCACGTTTAACACACAAACCCTGAGCTCTTCTCTGAAACTGAAAACACTCTGTTCCACCTTGTGATGTCATCATGTGGTGATACAGGAAGTGCTCCGCTCCACACACCTTCACTAGAATCACATGGATCTTTTTTTTTTTTTTTTTTTTCCAGTCCTGGAGTTGACGATCTCGACTGAACTAAAGATGAACTAAAACTTGAAAACCACCACGTCACGACATCACGAGGTGGAGCAGAGCGTTTGGAGCTTTGCGGATGTAAACAGACTCAGAATAAAAATTTAATCAAACATGTGAATGAAAAAAAAACACGACTCCAGATTTGATTTTACTCTAATAAAAGAAACATATTCATAATGTTACAGCTGACATGATATTTTTTACTTAAATATTTTTTAACTGTCAGAAACACTCTCTGTCTGCACCTGTCTGTCTGCACCTGTCTGTCTGCACCTGTCTGTCTTCACCTGTCTGTCTGCACCTGTCTGTCTGCACCTGTCTGTCTGCACCTGTCTGTCTGCACCTGTCTGTTTGTGGAGTTGTCTGTTCTGGCTGGGTCTGCGCTGAAGAGTGTGTGCGGGGCTGAGTGTGTGTGTGTGTGTGTGTGTCTGTGTTGCGTGTTTGTGTGTATGTGTGTGATATTGTGCGATTGCGAGGGTCATATGTGTGTGTGTCTTTGTGTGTTTATGTGTGTGATGTTGGTGTGTGTGTGATATTGTGCAATTGTGAGGACCGTATGTGTGTCTCTGTGTGTGTGTCTTTGTGTCTGTGTGTCTGCGTGTATATTGTGTGTCTTTGTGTGATATTGTGCAACTGTGAGGGCCTATGTGTGTGTGCCAGTGTGTGTTGTGTCTGTGTGTGATATTGTGTGACTGTGAGGACCGTATGTGTGTATTCTGTGTATGTGTGTGTGTGTGTGTGTGTATGTTGTGTACATGTGTGTGTAATATTGTGCGTCTGTCAGGGCCGTATGTGTTGTGTGTATGTTGTGTATTGTGTGTTTTGTGTGTTGTGTGTGTTGCGCGTCTGTCAGGGCCGTATGCGTGTGTGCGTTTGTGTGTCGGGGTGTGTGTGTTGTGTGTATGCGTGTTGTGTCTGTGTATGTGTGTATGTTGTGTGTATGTGTGTGCTCTGTATGTGTATGTGTGTGTGTATGTTGTGTGTATGCGTGTTGTGTCTGTGTATGTGTGTATGTTGTGTGTATGTGTGTGTGCGTTTGTGTGTCGGGGTGTGTGTGTTGTGTGTGTATGCGTGTTGTGTCTGTGTATGTGTGTATGTTGTGTGTATGTGTGTGCTCTGTATGTGTATGTGTGCGTGTATGTTGTGTGTATGTGTGTGTGATATTGTGCGTCTGTCAGGGCCGTATGAGCCACAACACCAAGAGCAGGACGTCACATGACCACAGCCAATCAGACACAGCGGGGGGAGGGGCCACCAGGGGGCAGCACTTACAGTCTGAACACACTACATGTGCTCAGTGGCCTCGGCCGGGTACGGCGGGCACAGGGCCTGGCTAATGTGGGCAAGCTGCTGCAGGCTGGGGGAGGGGGTGAGGGGGAACAGAGGCTCGGGGAGGTCCACCTTCATTCTCTTGGCCTCGTTTCTGGACTTGTAGCAGAACTCGATGAGGGCCACGAGCATGGCCAGACCCAGGCCGCCCACCAGGATGTAGAAGACCCCCGCCACGTTGGACAGGCTCAGGGCCTGGGACGACTTGTCCTACAGAGGACACAGGACACAGGACACAAGACAGCCAATCAGAGCACGGCACACAGAGACCAAGTCACACACGTCAAACATCTGACACACACACACACACACACCACTGTCAAACATCTAACACTCTAACTCAGTGTGAAACATCTAACACTCTACCTGAAAGTACAAACATCTGACACACACACACACACACACACTACCATCAAACATCTCACTCTGTGAAGCTTCAGACCTGACTCTCTGAACTGTGATCTGTGAGTGAGCTGCACTAACCACTCCTTCTGAGGACCTCCTTCTGAGGACCTGAGGACCTGAGGTGTGTGCTGGTCACACAGGGACATGCACTGACTCGGTGTGTGTGACTTTAAAGTCATGTTTCAGCTCTGAGCGAGTGTTCAGTCAGACTGAGGAGGAGGAGGGGCTCTCTGTGAGGACCTGTGTGTGTGAGGGGCCAGTGTGTGTGTGAGGGCCTGTGTGTGTGCGTGTGTGTGTGTGTGGCCTGTGTGTGTGTGTGTGTGTGTGTGTGTGAGGACCTGTGTGTGTGAGGGGCCAGTGTGTGTGTGTGTGAGGGCCTGTGTGTGTGTGTGTGTGTGTGTGTGAGGTGCCTGTGTGTGTGTGTGTGTGTGTGTGTGTGTGTGTGTGTGTGTGTGTGTGTGTGTGTATGTGTGAGGGGCCAGTGTGTGTGTGTGTGTGTGTGTGTGTGTGTGTGTGTGTATGTGGTGTGTGTGTGTGTGTGTGTGTGTGTGTGTGTGTATGTGTGGGGCCATGTGTGTGTGTGTGTGTGTGTGTGTGTGTGTGTGTATGTGTGTGTGTGTGTGTGTGTGTGTGTGTGTGAGGACCTGTGTGTGTGTGTGTGTGTGTGTGGTGTGTGGGCCTGTGTGTTGTGAGGGCCTGTGTGTGTGTGTGAGGGCCTGTGTGTGTGTGAGGGTCTGTGTGTGTGTGTGTATATGTGAGGGCCTGTGTGTGTGTGTGAGGGTCTGTGTGTGTGTCAGGGCCTGTGTGTGTGTGTCAGGGCCTGTGTGAATGGGATGAATCTTCTTGATTTGTGAAATTTCAGATTCACAGTCACACGACATTTATAAGAAAAAGAAGAAGAAGTGAAGCTCTGAATAAAGTGTCTTTTGGAGGGTCTGGGGCTCCTGCAGGTGTGTGTGTGTGTGTGTGTGTGTGTGTGTGTGTGTGTGGTCCCTGTCACAGTGCCTCCCTGTCGGTGCGTCCCTGTCGGTGCCTCCCTGTCGGTGCGTCCCTGTCGGTGCCTCCCTGTCGGTGCGTCCCTGTCGGTGCGTCCCTGTCGGTGCCTCCCTGTCGGTGCGTCCCTGTCGGTGCGTCCCTGTCGGTGCGTCCCTGTCGGTGCGTCCCTGTCGGTGCGTCCCTGTCGGTGCCTCCCTGTCAGTGCGTCCCTGTCAGTACTGCAGGAGTGGACTCATGTCTGTGTCGTGGTGCAGAAGCAGCAGAGGTTTAATGATCCTGATCAGACCTGAGGCAAGGTGGAGTCGAGTCCAAACACTCGATGTAACAGTAAAAATAAAACTGCGCTGATGAAGCTGAGATTTATTTATGTTTCAGCTCAGGTCTGTGTCTCTGTCGTCAGTGTTGGGGAGTAACAGATTACATGTACCGGAGTTAAGTAATCAGAGTACAAATGTTTTCACATTTTGGGCCATATCCCTTTATTTTTCTTTTTTTTCTAAACCAGGACTAATTCAGGATTGAACCAGGACTGAACCCAGGACTAAAACCAGGTCTAAACTAGATCTAAACCAGGACTAAAACCAGGTCTAAACTAGATCTAAACCAGGTCTAAACTAGATCTAAACCAGGTCTAAACTAGATCTAAACCAGGACTAAAACCAGGTCTAAACTAGATCTAAACCAGGTCTAAACTAGATCTAAACCAGGTCTAAACTAGATCTAAACCAGGATCTAAAACCAGGTCTAAACTAGATCTAAACCAGGTCTAAACTACAGGTCTAAACTAGATCTAAACCAGGTCTAAACTAGATCTAAACCAGGTCTAAACTAGGATTTAACAGGACCAAACCATGCATAATATTTTTAATTTGGTTCAGTAAAGTTTGGGCTTTTTTATTTTCTTTTAACAGAAAAAATTTCTTATGTGAAGATTTCCTCGTCTTTGCTTCTCTACAGAAAATCAAGTAATCCAAAGTAATCAGATTACATTACTCACTTTAATAATTTAATGGATTCCGTTACAGACTACATTTTGGTGTGTGTAATCTGTAATCTGTAGGGGATTACATTTTAAAAGTAAACTTCCCAACACTGTCTGTCGTTCAGGTCTGAGTCTAAAACGAAAAATAATTCTGTCACTGGGCAAAAGTTTCAGAGTGAAAACCAGAGAAGGTTTCAGCGAGGCTCATCTGGACTCTTCATCTGTGCTCAATGTTTCAGGTCCAGAAAACGTTTTACATTTGAATAAATCTTTCTTTAAGTCCAACTCGAGAGGAAGGAGTTTTAGAACCGAACACAAAACCAGAGTCCAGATGAAAACTTCTCCTCACTGAAGCTCCAAGACGAACGAAGGATCGAACCGTCTCAGAGTGAAGACGCTTCTGGTCATACGCCGGAGGAGACCGAGGGGGAGGAGCCAACTGTGTGGTAGGAGGAGTCAACTGTGTGAGGGGAGGAGCTAACTGTGTGAGGGGAGGAGCTAACTGTGTGGTGGGAGGAGTTAACTGTGAGGGGCGGAGCCATGGAAGTGTAATAAAATCTGGAAGGTGAGCGGAAGATGGTCGTGTTGTGTTGTTTTCGGCGGCCTGTGCTCGTTGGCGCATCGCAACAAAATAAGATTTTTATTTCCACATCACTTGCTGAATCTCTGTGCACTTAGCTCCTCCCCTCACACAGTTAGCTCCGCCCCCTCTGTCTGACCGGAGCTGAAGAAGCCTCTCGGACGAGCTTCATCTTCACTCTAAAACTTTTGTCCAGTTAGAGAATTGAATTGAATCTTTTACTTTTCCTCCGTGCTAATGCTCTGAACCCCTCATTACCCCGGTGTGCACCTGTCTGCACCTGCCTGCACCTGCTGGGTGACCGGGGCAGAGACTGAGACGTTCTAACACAGAGAAAACTCTGCTCCGTAAGTGTTTTAAAACTCTCTGCAAAATGCTTAAGTACAGTTTTAAACAGGTACTTTTATACTTTTACTTACTTATACTTGTACTATACTTAAACGACTTATGTATTTTGTAAATTCAATGAAAGTTTTGGAAAAGTCATGGAATTTTCGTCTCTCTTTCCCACAGCTCCAGTGTTCTTAGTTCTTCACTGAGCCCTGATGAAGACCAGTTAAGGTCGAAACATGTCGGCTTTGGCCATTTAAATAAAAGCCTTTTAACTAAACTTTTTACTTTTTTTTTTACTTCTTTGGAGCGGCTGGAGTCCTGATGTGTTTTAGTTTTGATCACCTGCAGCAAACAGCCACATTTTTGCTCTTTCAGCTTCAGTGTTCTGTTCAGTTCTCATGAGTTTGTTCTGATTATTTCTGAACGTTTGCGCCTTTTGTTTAAAAGAGACGACAATAAACGCACTGACAGGATTTTAAACGTTCAAAAACTATAATCCCAAACCATAAGGCGAGCGGAAACAGTTTCAGATTTACACGTAAAGTCTGAATCAATTCTACACAAATTTTTTTCAGTGAAAACGAGAGCGAACCCTGTGTATACTTTTACTTTTACTTGAGTAACTTTTTGTACTTTTACTTCACAAAACGCAGTACTTCTTTCACCACTGAACTTTAAACACGTGACATAAAACGAAGTAACTGCTGAGTCCACTCGCTGTGTGCTCCAGTCTGACCCCAAACTACGGAAGCCGAGAGGGTCACAACAAACGCAAACAAACACAAATGTGACAACACAACAAAAAGCCACAACAAACCAAAAAAAGCCACAACAGAAGTGACCGCGGGACTCTATTTTCCGACGGACCGATCAAGCGGCAAGTGAAGAAGAAGAACGACAACGTGAAAAGTAAAGGAACGGAGAAGTTGGAAACGTAAGTAAAAGTAATTTATTGTTTTATCGTTATTCATTTCACGTTGTAGTTCTTCTTCTTCACTTGCCGCTTGATCGGTCCGACGGAAAATAGAGTCCCGCGGTCACTTCCGTTGTGGCTTTTTAATGTGTTGTTTTTTTTTTGATGTGTTTGTGGCTTTTTAATGTGTTGTGGCATTTTGTTGTGTTGTGGCTTTTTTTAATGTGTTGTGGCTTTTTAATGTGTTGTGGCTTTTTGTTGTTTGTGGGCTTTTTATGTGTTAATGTGTTGTGGCTTTTTTGTTGTGGCTTTTTATGTGTTGTGGCTTTTTTATGTGTTGTGGCTTTTTAATTTTGTGTTGCGGCTTTTAATGTGTTGCGTTTTATTTGCTTTTTTAATGTGTTGTGGCTTTTTAATGTGTTGTGGCTTTTTATTTGTTTTTAATATGTTGTGGTTTTTTACGTGTTGCGGCTTTTTAATGTGTTGCGACTTTTTTATATGTTGTGGCTTTTTTACGTGTTGCGGCTTTTTAATGTGTTGCGGCATTTGCGTTTGTGTTGTGGCTTTTTAACGTGTTGTGGCTTTTTAATGTGTTGCGGCATTTGCGTTTGTGTCGTGGCCTTTGTATTAACATAGAGTCCCGCTATCATTTCCGTTGTGGCTTTTTTTCATTTGTTGTGGCTTTCTGTTGTGTTGTCACTTTTTAAGGTGTTGTGGCATTTGCATTTGTGTTGCGGCGTTTGTATTAACATAGAGTCCCATGTTCATTTCTGTTGTGGCTTTTTAATGTGTTGCGGCTTTTGCGTTTGTGTTGTGGCATTTGTATTTGTTGCGGCGTTTGCATTAAAATAGAGTTCTGTTGTGGCTTTTTTTGGTGTGTTGTGGCTTTTTTTGGTTTGTTGTGGCTTTTTTGGTGTGTTGTGGCTTTTTTGGTTTGTTGTGGCTTTTATTGGTTTGTTGTGGCTTTTTAATGTGTTGCGGCTTTTGCCTTTGTGTTGTCGCATTTGTATTTGTTGCGGCGTTTGCATTAAAATAGAGTTCCGTTGTGGCTTTTTTTGGTGTGTTGTGGCTTTTTTTTTGTTGTTGTCGCATTTGTATTTGTTGCGGCGTTTGCGTTCGTTGTGGCCCTCTCGGCTTCCGTACCCTACAGTCTGCCTGTGTCAGCGTGCAGTGGGGGGGGGGGTCCCTGGGGTGAGTGGAGGTGGGTGGGTGTCCCGTGGTGGGGGGGGGGGTCCCTGGGGTGCGGGGGGTGGGGGTGGGGGGGCTGGACACTGACCTTACTTCCCGAGTCCTTGGGTCCACACTCCCCTTTATCGTACCACCATTTGTTTTTCAGTTTGTCTAAGACTCCTGCTTCACTCAGTTTCAATACGGCATGGTTTACTGGCGTTCTTCGTTTGGGGGCGGGGACAGGTGGGAAAGGGGAGGGGGGGAGGGGAAATAACATAAATAACATCATAGCACATGTTATTTTATGTTATTCAATCGTACGTCATCAGAAACTCCAACGAGAGCACCTTTCGTTTTACTGGGAGCCAGTGCGCGAGCCCAGGGAGGCCCCGCCGCCGCTACATGTCTCTTCGCTCCGCCGTGGCGAGGGGCGAGGGGGCGGAGCTAACAGACATATAAACAAGCGGGGCCCTGGCTTCGTCACCGCTCGGAAAACGGGGACATGCCGCCAGGACATTTCTGTTTCGGAAACACGGAGCCGCTACTGTCGAAGCAAACGGACGAAGGATTCTGAAACGATGGACTTTTATTTTGGTGATCGGAACAAAAACTTAAAGGAGCCGTATGAAGTTTTACGGTTTTAAAATCGGACTGTGACACAACAGAATCTATGTTGCCAGAGTTTTAAAGGTTCAGTATTACTCAAAATGGATTATTATGAGTTTTGCGTCATGTTCTAACGTTGTTCGTGCTCAGAAACAAACCTGGAGTTGTTTTATTTTTAGGGCAGGAGTCGGCTTTTTTATCCTTTCGTTGTGGCTCCCTTTAACTTTGGAAAATAATAATTTCAAGTATTTAATCACAATGTATTTTTATTTTAGTTGATTTGTTTTTAAATGTGATTCTAAATGTGTAGATAACGGTCGTCCTGTAACATTCAAATAAAACGTTTTTAATATTTTTGTCGCTCAAAATACGCGTCAAAGCTGCACAGGATCTGGCAACCCGGATTTACCAGGTCCTCCACCAGCAGCATCGTTTATTGAGCTTTTCAACCCCTGGTAGGTAAACGATCGTCAGTCTGGCGCCACCTAGTGCTTCCGCTCAATTTCATTTCCCTCCAGCGACTCGGTCAAGAATCAGAAAACACTTGACCACCTTTAATCTGGCCCTCGGCTGATTTTCTACTAAAGTATTTTTATTATATTTTCTATTAAAATGTTGTTAATTTTCTGTGGTGTTTATCACAGCAGCGTCTCCAGCGTCTCTGTACGTGGCCCCTCCCACCAGAGCAGCACAAATGAAGACTTGTCTCTTTCCAAACGCTCTTAAAGGACGATCGTTTTGACTGTTGACCGTGACACCCTCATCAGAAAAATGTCCAACATGAGAAAAGTGGAGCCGAGTGCAGGATTTTACAACAAAAATGGACTTATTCCTGTTTACAGACAAGTTCATGTTCAAACTTTGTGTTGAAATTGTATTTTTCTTAAAGTTTCAGGTTGTTCATAATATTATAATATTTTGTAAAAGAAAGAGTTCATCAATTCAAAAAGATTTCTGTAATAGATTTGTGTTTCTCTGCACAAATATTTGAACTTCTTGTTATTTTTGGGGTTTATATGACATGAGTTTTCTGATCCAGGACACTTTGGATCAAAGTCGGTTGGACTCGACCCCCGGAACAACATGAGTTTGACTCTCCTGGTCTAGACGGTTTGAAGAACGCCGGAAGTGAGAGTTCGGACATCAGCCAATCAGCGAAGAGACAGACATTCTGTGTTGGCAACGATTCCCGAGATCGAGGATTTAAAGTCGGAACAAAGAGAATATTTGCTGAATTTGATCTCGGGAAAAGACGTTATTGTTCTTCCTTCAGGATTTGGAGCTTTACAAACTTACAAACGTCACGACCAAACAGCAGCGACTGGTTCAATAAAAAAAGTTCCCGCCTCCCGTCGAGCGAACGAATCCTAATGCTGCAGGTCACACGGTTTCCACCAAGTGAAACCCACTGATTACATACAGCTCCTTTAAGAAACAGAACATGAAAATATTGACTCATTTTCTTGTTTCAGATTAGTTTTTTTCCAGTGGATCGTCTTGTTTCCACAGTACTGGCTCTCTCCTCTCGCACGCAGAACCACGTCCACGCCCACACGCCCACACGGTCTGATGGAGGGTCCGGCACCTGCTCGTTTCTACGGAGACGGAATGTTCCACAGTGTGACGTTAAACAGCTCGACTCTACGATTAGGCGGATTATTAGTTTCTGAACACAGCGGCACTAAAACAGTTTATCAAATAGTTTTATAAAACAGTGTAATCAAATCAGGTCTGATGTTAAATGAACTTTAGTGAGCGGGAAACGCCGCTGCTGGAACAACAAAATCTGTGTGTCGTTCGTTCATTTGTTTTTCAAAATAAAACCAAAAATAAGAAAAAATGGAAAAAAACAACGATTTTCTTTATTATTTGTCTCCAAAACCAAAATGAAAAAAAAAAAAAAAAAAAAACAGATAAGGGACGTCCGTTTACGTGACTTAAAGTTTGATGCTGGACTGAGACAAGGACTGAACTGGTCTTAGTCCTGATCTCAGTCCCAGTCTGATCCTGGTCTGATCCTGGTCTGGTCCTGGTCTCAGTCCTGATCTTGTTCAAGTCTGGTCCCGATCTCAGTCCCAGTCTCAGTCCTGGTTTCGGTCTCAGTTCTGATCATCTGACAGTCTACGCGGGTGCAACTCCGGGCCCGTACCTGACACTCAGTCCTGTTTTAGTTCTGGTTTAGTCCTTGTTTTAGTCCTGGTTTAGTCCTAGTTTAGTCCTGTTTTAGTCCTGGTTTAGTCCTGTTTTAGTCCTGTTTTAGTCCTAGTTTTAGTCCTGTTTAGTCCTGGTTTAGTCCTGTTTTAGTCCTGTTTTAGTCCTGTTTTAATCCTGTTTTAGTCCTGGTTTTAGTCCTGTTTTAATCCTGTTTTAGTCCTGGTTTAGTCCTGTTTTAGTCCTGTTTTAGTTTTATCCTGTTTAGTCCTGTTTTAGTCCTGGTTTAGTCCTGGTTTAGTCCTGTTTTAATCCTGTTTTAGTTCTGGTTTAGTCCTGTTTTAATCCTGTTTTAGTCCTGGTTTAGTCCGGTTTTAATCCTGTTTTAGTCCTGGTTTAGTCCTAGTTTAGTCCTGTTTTAGTCCTGGTTTAATCCGTTATCTGTTTTTTCCAAATCAAAAACTGAAAAAAAAAAAATCATTATCTGTTTTTTTCATTTTGGTTTTGGAGACAAATAATGAAGAAAATAGTTGGTTATTTTTTCAATTTCTTATTTTTTGGTTTTATTTTGAAAAACAAATGAACGAGTTCCACCGACACCTGCGTATGTTTGACTCTCTGGGACGACGCCGATGGGCGGAGCGACTCTCTCTTCGTGTTCTGTGTAAAGATGCGTAAGTATTTATTTATCTGTCTGAATATCGTCTGTCAAATTCATGCAAGTGCGTAAATACGAGGAACGTCCGTGTTTGAGTTTGTTTGTTTCCCAAGTAACTCTCGAACCGCTCGCCCGTTTGAGTCCAAATTCAGAGATTTTCATCCCAACGTGACGAGTGTGGGCAGCGCCAAGTCGTTCGGACAAAAAACTCAAAAGATCTGGTGACATGAGTGATGAAGTTTAGCCGGTGATAACTTCAGAACTTGTCACATTTTGTTTATTTATTGTTTGTTTATTTATTGTCTTTCTATCAAATGCAGGTGAGCGCGTAAATGCAAGGAACGTTCGTGCGCGAGTTTGCTTGTCTCTTCCACTCGTAACTCTCGAACTGCTCGCCCGTTTGAGTCCAAATTCAGAGAGTTTCATCCTAACGTGACGAGTGTGGGCAGTGCCAAGTTTCAAGTTGTTGGGACAAAAAATGCCAAAGATCTGGTGACATGAGTGATGAGTGACACCGCGGGGCCGGTGATAACTTCAGAAGTTGTCACGTTTTGTTTATTTATTGTTTATTTATTTAAAAATAACGAGAAAAAAAACATCTCAAAGTTCTTCCGTCTCCACGTAGAAAAACGTTTAACGGAGCCTCCGCCAGAAAAGTTACGCTTCAAATAAACACAAACGTGGTTCTTGTGGAGGCGGTCGGCGCGGACGTGTTCTCTGCGTTTTTGCCGGTGATGGCGCCCTCTGCTGGCGACCTGGCAGATGCCCCTGTTCCCGCTCGCACACACACACACACACACACACACACACACGCACACGTAGCACGCGGCGTAGCGACATGAGCGGCTAACCTTCTCGCCACCGCCTCCGCTGCCACACTCTCCTTTGTCGTACCACCATTTGTTTTTCAGTTTGTCCAGGAGGCCCTGCTCATTGAGCTTTAACACGGCCAGGTTTACTGCGCTTCTTGAAAACGATACAGAGCAGATTTTTTTGGTGAGAGGGTGAGTGGGTAAAACTGACGTCCAATTCAGGGGGGGGGGTGAGGAGGAGGAGGGGAGGGGGAGGGAGGTGGTGGAAGGGGGCGGGGACATGGGGGAGGGGGGAGGAGCCGTGGTGAGAGAGAGAGAGGGACAGAAGAGTTTAAGTCGTTCAGACAGCGGCAAAGGACGAAAGCTGAACCAAAAAAAAACTTTCCAGAAGAGCCGGAAATGACAGAGACGCAACAAAAATGAAACGTCCACATGTAAATATGAAACAAAGTGAGAGAGTTAAGTTTAGTTTCTTTGGCCACGTTTACATGATGTTTTTTTTTATTCCGAATTCAATTAAAATCTTCTCCTTGTTGTTTCCATCCATTTTCGTCAGTTTATCCGGGGTCGGGTCTCGGGGGCAGCAGCCTGAGCAGGGACTCCCAGACTTCCCTCACCCCAGACACGTCCTCCAGCTCCTCCAGGGGAACCCCGAGGTGTTCCCAGGCCAGCAGAGAGACATGGTCCCTCCAGTGTGTCCTGGGTCTCCTCCTCCCGGTGGAACATGAACACCTCCTGAGGGACACGTCCAGGAGGCATCAGGAACAGACGCCTGAGCCTCATGGGTCGTGTGCTGGTTTGCAATGGTTAAATTTGTCCACTAGAGGTCAGTGTGTCTCCGAGGCCTCAGACACGTCGAGCCGTTTGAGACGATATCGAGGCTGAGGTGTCGACGCTTCACGAGGCTCCGTCACAAGAACAAACCAAACACTTACTTCACCATTAAGTTTAATTCTGAAGCATTTTCATGATTTGTGTTTACGTGGAAGCGGAATTCATTTTTATCCAGAATTAAATCATTTTTATTTGGAATAGGAGGGTTTCAGTCACGTGATCACGATGATGCGCGAATTTCAGGTGGAGGGCAGGAAGTGAAGACAAACGCGACAAACAAACGCGACAAACAAACGCGACAAACAAACGCGACAAACGAACGCGACAAACAAACGCGACAAACGAACGCGACAAACAAACGCGGCTCTGGAGAACACAGATGTGGAGAAGAGTTCTTACTGTCAGGATTTAGAGTCTGTAACGAGGCAAAAGTACGAGCAGTTAGTCGACAAATATATCAGACGTGACCCTGATCTTAGTAAAAGATTTGCCGACAATCGAGGCAGAGGAGATCACCAACTATTGATCTCTTCAGACGTCGTTCTACACCAGACAACAGACGAAGGCAAAGTACAAAAGTTTGGAGGCTTATAACTTTTTTTGTGAGTGGATGGATCCTCAACCTCGGTGCAAAACGACTAAATGATGATGATGTTTGGTCTTGGCCGGGGGGAGTGTTTCTCTTATTTTATGTGTATCGACGTTATGTGTAAAACTGCAGTGTATCGACAGTGACCGATTTATCTGAACTATTTAATGTCAACAAACGTCGTTAGTCGTTAATGATTCGTTTATGTTTAGGTGAACCACAAAAAACTATTGATCTTTGTAACAAACCTTTGTCGACGTGTCACTGCAGACACGAGCAGCAGTGAATTCTGCTGCTCCCGACACAAACAGGTTTGTAATCAGTGTCGGGGAGTAACAGATTACAAGTACCAGAGTAATCAGATTACAAATGATGAATAACTGTATTCAGTTACAGTTACTGTTTCAGTGAGTGGGAATTGGATTACAGTTACTTTGTTCAAATAAATGGATTACACAGAGGGATTTTACTGTTTTTACATTTTGGACTAAACCAGGACTAAACTAAGTCTGAAACTAGGACTAAAACCAAAAACTTAAACTAGGACTAAACCAGGACTAAACCAGGACTAAACTAAGTCTAAACCCGGACTAAAACCAGAATTAAACTAGGACTAAACTAGGACTAAACCAGGACTAAACCAGGACTAAAACCAGGACTAAACCAAGTCTGAAACTAGGACTAAAACCAAAACTAAACTAGGACTAAACTAAGACTAAACCAGGACTAAACCAGGACTAAACCAGGTCTGAAACCAGGACTAAAACCAAAACTAAACTAGGACTAAACTAAGACTAAACTAAGACTAAACTAAGACTAAACCAGGACTAAACCAGGACTAAACTAGGACTAAAACCAGAACTAAACCAGGTCTGAAACCCGGACTAAAATCAAAACAAAACTAGAACTAAACCAGGACTAAAACTAGAACTAAACTAAAAAACATGAAAATATCAAGTAATCCAAAGTAATCAGATTACATTACTCACTTTAAGTAATTTAATGGATTCCATTACAAACTACATTTTGAGGCGTGTAATCTGTAATGTGTAGGGGATTACATTTTAAAAGTCACCTTCCCGACACTGTTTGTAATCCACTTTTTACGGTGTTGTTCTGTCGGCTTTTTCCATTTCTGACCTTTGTGTTCGACGATCTTCTGTTCTCTAAAAACATCGCTTTTCCTTCTCTCGGTTCGAACGATTGGCACAGACGTAAACGACACAACACGTCGGCGTTTTCCTCCAGTCGGTTCACTTCCTGCCTCCGTCTGACAAACGTCGCCCTGTGACGTCACGTGAAACCCACATATTGAAGCTCTCATGGAAACGTGGCAATTCACACGTGTATGAGTAACATGAGTGAGTCACACCTGTTGGACTCCGCCAGGGCTGCACCTGTCACCGGTTCTGTTCATTGTGTTTATGGACAGAGTTTCTAGGTGCAGTCAGGGGCCGGAGGGTTCGGTTTGGGGACCACAGGATTTAATCTCTGCTGTTTGTGGATGATGTTGTTCTGTTGGCTTCATCGAACCAGGACCTGCAGCACTGGGGCGGTTTGACCCGAGTGTGAAGCGTCTGGGATGAAGATCAACTCTTCTAAGTCCGAGGTCGTGGTTCTCGACCGGAAAAAGGCGTTTTACCCTCTCCGGGCGGGTGGAGAGTCTCTGCCTCAAGTGGAGGAGTTCAAGTATCTCGGGGTCTTGTTCACGAGTGACGGGGAGGACGGAGCGTGAGATTGACAGGTGGACAGGTGCAGCGTGGGCAGATTGACAGGTGGACAGGTGCAGCGTGGGCAGATTGACAGGTGCAGCGTGTCTGCAGTGATGCGGTCGCTGTATCGGTCGTTGTGGTGAAGAGGAGCTGAGTCGAAAGGCGAAGCTCTCGATTTACCGGTCAGTCTTCGTTCCTCCTCTCACCTCTGGTCATGAGTCTGGGTAGTGACCGAAAGGACGAGATCGCGGATACAAGCGCTCGAAATGAGTTTCCTCCGCAGGGCGTCTGGGCGTCTCCCTTAGAGACAGGGTGAGGAGCTCAGTCACACGGGAGGAGCTCGGAGTAGAGCCGCTGCTCCTCCACGTGGAGAGGAGCCAGTCTGAGGCTCGGGACATCTGTTCTGATGCCTCCTGGACGTGTCCCTCAGGAGGTGTTCATGTCCCACCGGGAGGAGGCCCCGGGGAAGACCCAGGACACACTGGAGGGACTATGTCTCTGGTCTGGACTGGGAACACCTCAGGGGTCCCCCCGGAGGAGCTGGAGGACGTGTCTGGGGTGAAGGAAGTCTGGGAGTCCCCCGCGACCCGACTTTGGATAAGCGGAAGAAAATGGATGGATGAGTAACACTTTATTATGAGTCTGTTTATAATTAAAAACAAATCAGTGTTAAAAATCTTTCCATCAAATGTAAAATGTTCAGATTTTGGACTTTGATTTGCCCTTTTTGTGTTTTTGTAATTTCTACTTTGCTTTATCACTTTTAGTTACACGTACAACTTTACGGTGGAGAATCCGTCACCTGCTTGTCACCTACTCTTACTCGAGTACTTTTTTTGAGTACTCCACCTCGTCGGTCTGAGCCAGAACATAATCATGACGGTCGTTTGTTTTGTTTCTGCGGCTCTTTTGGCGGCGTCGGGTTTGGTTCAGCGTTCGTTCAGATCCGCTCATTTCCTCAAACAACTGTGACGAAAACAAAAAAAGCATCAGAGCAAAATCAGGCAACAACAACACGGCGGCGGCGGCGGCGCGAGGAGCCCCGCCCACTGACCGACGGACCAATCAGGAAGCAAAAGGTCCTCGCTTCCTCTTCGGTCTGTGTGAGTGAACGAGGCGGAGAAACTGGACTCATCCTTAAAGGTCTAAAGGTCCAATATTCCACAAAACGGAGACTCGTGAACTTTGAAGGTCGTACAGAGGATTTATCAAAGAACGAAAAACACGGACTAAACCAGGTCTAAACCAGGACTAAGTCAGGACTAAACCAGGACTAAACCAGGATTAAACCAGGACTAAACCAGGTCTAAACCAGGTCTAAACCAGGACTAAACCAGGACTAAACCAGGACTAAACCAGGTCTAAACCAGGACTAAACCAGGACTAAACCAGGACTAAACCAGGTCTAAACCAGGACTAAACCAGGTCTAAACCAGGACTAAGGTCAGGACTAAACAGGACTAAACCAGGTCTAAACCAGGTCTAAACAAGGACTAAACCAGGATTAAACCAGGACTAAACCAGGTCTAAACCAGGACTAAACCAGGTCTAAACCAGGTCTAAACCAGGACTAAACCAGGTCTAAACCAGGTCTAAACCAGGTCTAAACCAGGACTAAACCAGGTCTAAACCAGGACTAAACCAGGAAACCAGGACTAAACCAGGACTAAACCAGGACTAAACCAGGTAAACCAGGACTAAACCAGGTCTAAACCAGGTCTAAACCAGGACTAAACCAGGTCTAAACCAGGTCTAAAACCAGGACTAAACCAGGTCTAAACCAGGACTAAACCAGGTCTAAACCAGGACTAAACCAGGACTAAACCAGGACTAAAACCAGGTCTAAACCAGGACTAAACCAGGTCTAAACCAGGTCTAAACCAAACCAGGACTAAACCAGGTCTAAACCAGGTCTAAACCAGGACTAAACCAGGTCTAAACCAGGTCTAAACCAGGACTAAACCAGGACTAAAACCAGGACTAAACCAGGACTAAACCAGGTCTAAACCAGGACTAAACCAGGACTCTAAACCAGGACTAAACCAGGACTAAACCAGGAACTAAACCAGGACTAAACCAGGACTAAACCAGGACTTAAACCAGGACTAAACCAGGTCTAAACCAGGACTAAACCAGGACTAAACCAGGACTAAACCAGGTCTAAACCAGGACTAAACCAGGACCAAACAGCCAATAGATCGTGGTCGTCACTAGGGACGGGCATTCAATGAAATGTTCTTAATCGATCGTCAGAAGAATTAACGATCGATTATCGATTAATCCTTAATGTTTTTCTATTAAAATGATCATCATTATTATTACTATCTGCACTAATCTGCATCAATAAATTCAACTTTACGACATATAAACATAACGACTCTAGATCCACATCAGCTGTTTGACATTATAATGTGTTTAATTCAGTTTTGTTCAAATCTCACAGAAACAAAACTTAAAACCACATCACTAATTTACATAAACTAAGTGAAGATAAAACTCCAGCTCTTGTGTCGCTGATGTGGTTCAACTTGTGTTGGATTAAAAGACATGACTCAGGTGAATACAGGTCAGTGTGACCAGATTTGTGTTTGTCAAAACCAGGACAGCGTACGGGGGGAGGGGGGCGGGGCCTCGTCATCCACATTGAGCGACTCTCACCTGGAAAAACTTTTTCCCACTGGACACAGAAACATATGTGCTGCTTTATCCACTGTGCACATGGACTCACACTTGTCCCAACGCAACGGAAAGTGTGGAATTTCTTCTACAAATCCTGGTTAAATCCACATTTGTGCTTCGGTTCGTTACAGACTGACCCACTGTTTGTGTCTCGCTCCTTCTGATGCAGAGACACATGTACACACCTGTTTGGTCACGACACACACACATACATTCAGTTTGTCCATTAAAATGAACGGAATCCATGAAATTCTTAATGATCAATTATCGATTAATCGATTAATCATGCCCATCCCTAGTCGTCACAGTTACTCGGCTGCTGCGTCTAAAACACGAATCTGAATTTTCATCGACAATTTGAAACAAAAACAACAAAAAAATCCTCTGTACGACCTTTAAGTCGTGTTCTGTTGTTCGTCATCAGACTCACAGCTGGAGCCTGTTTGTTTGAGTGACTCTTTATGATGAGTCTGTCTACGTCTACAAAGCTCCGAACGCTCTGCTCCACCTTGTGATGTCATCAAGTGGTAGTAAAACAGTTAAGATCGTTGTATTGAATGTTTTGATAAAGATCTGACTTTTATTTTCCCAGTTTGTTCGTTTTTTTTTTTTTATGTTCAAAATTTTGGAAATTATGGGGCGTTCCATCACTGTTACCGTAGCGACCATGTGACGTACTCGGAAAAACGAATTACGTACTCGGAAAAACGAAAACTCGGAAAACGGATATTTGAAGGAAAAAAAACGTAAGAAAACATCTTTATATCGTTGAAATTAAGAAAAATGTGTGCAAAAGTAAAAAAATTGAGAATCGTCAGACGCATGCGCACTTTAAAAACACAGTGGAGCGCTTGTGTCACCGTGTTACCGCGTGACATCACAAGGTGGAACGGGGAATTCGGGGTAATTCTCGACTGAACGCGAACGAAACAAAGCAAAACTCCAGGACTGTGACGAGGAAACGAAAATCTGTACGAACAAAAGAGTTGAAATTTAAAATAAGGTGTCATTCCCCTCGTGGTCGACAGGGGGCAGAGTCGAGCGCTCGGGCGGCTCCTCGTCGCCGCGGACGCAGACGAAGAGTCCGTTAGCTCGGGGCGAAAAAACGCTGAAGTAGCATTAGCTGAGTGCGCGAGGCTCGTTAGCGACGCAGAAAGAAAACGTTTTCTGAAACATGCACAAAGTTTAACACAAAGTTTAACACAAAGTTTAACACGAAGCTGAAAGAAAAGATTAAAGACAAAAGCAGGTCGTCCCCACATGCCAAACACAGACCGGACCTCAGACCGGACCTCAGACCAGGCCTCGGACCAGACCTCGGACTGGACCTCAGACCGGACCTCGGACTGGACTTTAGTCTGGACCTCAGACCAGGCCTCGGACCGGACCTCGGACTGGACCTCAGACCGGACCTCAGACCGGACCTCGGACTGGACTTTAGTCTGGACCTCAGACCAGGCCTCGGACCGGACCTCGGACTGGACTTTAGCCTGGACCTCAGACCAGACCTCGGATTGGTCCTTGGCCTGGGCCTTAGACCTAAGACCAGACTTTGGACTGGATCTCGACCTGGAACTCAGACCGGACCTCAGCCTGGACCTCAGACCAGGCTTTGGACCGGACCTTACCCTGGGCCTCAGATTGGGCCTCAGACCGGACCTCAGATCAGACCTCAGCCTGGATCTCAGCCTGGACCTCAGACCAGACCTCAGACCGGACCTCAGCCTGGACCTCAGCCTGGACCTCAGACCAGACCTCAGACCGGACCTCAGCCTGGACCTCAGACCAGACCTCAGACCGGACCTCAGCCTGGACCTCAGCCTGGACCTCAGACCGGACCTCAGACCAGACCTCAGCCTGGACCTCAGACCTGACCTCAGCCTGGACCTCAGCCTGGACCTCAGCCTGGACCTCAGACCAGACCTCAGCCTGGACCTCAGACCGGACCTCAGCCTGGACCTCAGCCTGGACCTCAGCCTGGACCTCAGCCTGGACCTCAGCCTGGACCTCAGCCTGGACCTCAGACCGGACCTCAGACCGGGCGACATGGCTTTGTCTGTTTTTGTGTCATTGTTAGAATTGTAAATATTCTTCATCAGACTTTGCTGGTCTCTGGGGTTGGTCCTTCTGTGAGACGGGGGACCACAGCGCCCCCTGCAGTCGCTCTTCTCCACAGCAGGATCCTGAGTGTGAGAACAGGAGCCCCCTGCTGTTGGTTTAGTGAATTACAGGCACGAGGGCAATGTCCCTGTGATACACCAAACCAACAGCAGGGGGCGCCTGCTTTACCAAACCTGGACTGGTGTTTTTCAGATGAATCTCTGTTCTATAAACGATGATGTAGATCAGAATGATCAACAGAAGTGTCTGTGACAGCAGGGGGCGCTGTGGTCTCTCCTCTCACATGAGAACAGCCCCAGACACACAGAGACTCTGAGTCCAAACAAACGGATCTGTTCATGAGACGGAACAGGATCTGGACCAAAGAAATGTTTTTAAAATATCGACAGATTTCTGCGATAAACGACACTGAACAGTCGTCCATGTCGCCGTCTGAGCGCAGCCTCAACCCCCACTGTACCCGTCAGGTGCCTGTCAGACGCCCGGCAGGTGCCCGTTAAGCACCCGTCAGGCGCCGTCAGGTGCAGAAAGGCGGCACATCAGGGCGGGTGGAATAACATAACAACACGTGTCCATATTGTTACACTACTCCACCCACCTTAACTGTGAACCCTTGGGCGTGGCCACGCCGTAGCCTTTGGAGTCCAGGTTCCCGCCCACTTTCATGGTGTCGCAGGGTTTGCGTTGCTCCGTGTACTCGTTCATCGTGGACTCCAGGAGGAAGGCGTATTTCCCTTTGGACTTTCGGACGCGGGCGACGCCCTCGGCCGTCGTCTTGGTGAAGACCGTGGGCTCCGCCGACTTCATGTAGCCCCACATCTTCTCGTACACCGCGATCTTCGAGCGCTGCGACAGGAGCGTGTGTGTGCAGACAGGGCCGGCAGGTGCAGTGACAGGAGCATGTGATTAACAACAGTAATAACAACAGTAAAATCAGACATTTTGGGACCTGGGAATTTAACTCAATCAGCACAAACTAATGAAACATTATTAAGACATTAATGCTAATGTGAAACTTCGTTATAGTTTTACACATATTTCAGATTAAATTTTACACACAAAATGAGCTCATATTTATGAAAGCTCATTTCCACCAGTAAATAAAAAATAAAAACTTCACAGAAACTCATAATTACGAGTTTAAAAGTCTTAATTATGAGTTTCAAACTCAACACAAAGCAGCTTTTTTCACAACGACCGGACGTCACCACGGAAGGTTTATGGAACTTCTGGTTAATGTTTTTCTGCTTAAATGTGTGTGTGTAAATGTGTGTGTGTAAGTGTGTGTGTGTGTAAATGTGTGTGTGTGTGTGTAAATGTGTGTAAATGTGTGTAAATGTGTGTGTAAATGTGTGTGTAAATGGTCCCTACAATTCCACAAACCTGCATTGTGGGACTTCCGGTTGTGAAAAGTTCTATTTTGCTGGTTTTGCTGCTTATTTAAAACAAATTTTTACCATTTATATTTTTATTTTTATTTTTTATTCTATTATATTTTGACGTGTGACTCCTGGGCCTAAATTATTCTCTCGCGGGTGAGTACATTCGTTTCGTTGGACGTGGACGCGCCATCGTCGTCTCCTCACCCTGAAGAACTCCTTGGTGGATCCGGAGTCCAGCGTCCCGTAGGCGATGTCGGTCTGTTTGGCGAGGTCCTCGGCGCTTTCGATGGGCGACACCATCCGCTCCACGGTGAGGAACGCCGCCAGGTTGGCCGTGTACGACGAGATGATGATGAGCGTGAAGAACCACCAGACTCCGCCCACGATGCGCCCGGACAGCGACCTGGGGGACGAGCGAGAAGCGAGACGGCGGTTTAGTCCTGATGAAATGAATAATACACGTTTAAAGATGCACTGTGTAACTTTTCTGGTCGCTTTGCTCCATGGAGATGTTATTGATTTGTCTGGAACATTAAACCTTTCAATCTCCATGGAAACCAAACCAGACCAAGTCACAGGTCAGATCTTTGGACAGGCGAGATTTTTTGAGTTTTAGTTCTGGTTTAGTCCAAGTTTAGACCTGGTTTAGTCCTGGTTTAGTCCTGGTTTAGACCTGGTTTAGTCCTGGTTTAGTCCTGGTTTAGACCTGGTTTAGTCCTGGTTTAGTCCTGGTTTAGTCCTGGTTTAGTCCTGGTTTTAGTCCTGGTTTAGTCCTGGTTTAGTCCTGGTTTAGTCCTGGTTTAGTCTCTGGTTTAGTCCTGGTTTAGTCCTGGTTTAGTCCTGGTTTAGTCCTGGTTTAGTCCTGGTTTAGTCCTGGTTTAGTCCTGGTTTAGTCCTGGTTTAGTCCTGGTTTAGTCCTGGTTTAGTCCTGGTTTAGTCCTGGTTTAGTCCTGGTTTAGTCCTGGTTTAGTCCTGGTTTAGTCCTGGTTTAGTCCTGGTTTAGACCTGGTTTAGTCCTGGTTTAGTCCTGGTTTAGTCCTGGTTTAGTCCTGGTTTAGTCCTGGTTTAGTCCTGGTTTAGTCCTGGTTTAGTCCTGGTTTAGTCCTGGTTTAGTCCTGGTTTTAGTCCTGGTTTAGTCTGGTTTAGTCCTGGTTTAGTCCTGGTTTAGTCCTGGTTTAGTCCTGGTTTTAGTCCTGGTTTAGTCCTGGTTTAGTCCTGGTTTAGTCCTGGTTTAGTCCTGGTTTAGTCCTGGTTTAGTCCTGGTTTAGTCCTGGTTTAGTCCTGGTTTTAGTCCTGGTTTAGTCCTGGTTTAGTCCTGGTTTAGTCCTGGTTTAGTCCTGGTTTAGTCTGGTTTAGTCTGGTTTAGTGGTTTAGTCCTGGTTTAGTCCTGGTTTAGACCTGGTTTAGTCCTGGTTTAGTCCTGGTTTAGTCCTGGTTTAGGTCCTGGTTTAGTCCTGGTTTAGACCTGGTTTAGTCCTGGTTTAGTCCTGTTTAGTGGTTTAGACCTGGTTTAGTCCTGGTTTAGACCTGGTTTAGTCCTGGTTTAGTCCTGGTTTAGTCCTGGTTTAGTCCTGGTTTAGTCCTGGTTTAGTCCTGGTTTAGTCCTGGTTTAGTCCTGGTTTAGTCCTGGTTTAGTCCTGGTTTAGTCCTGGTTTAGTCCTGGTTTAGTCCTGGTTTAGTGGGACACGTTTAAAATGTGAAACTAATCAGATAAAACAAAAATCTCAAACTGAGTCACCGTCAGCAGGTTTGTCCCAAAAAAATGACAATAAAATAAATAAAATAAATGTTTTGAGGTGCACATTCCCACGCTTTGTTTCCAGGCATTTTCCAGGCATTTTCCAGGCATTTTCCAGGATGTTTTTAATGGCGTCGTCAGAGCGTCTGCAGATACGAGACTCGTTTTTTACTATTATGTTTTTTTAAAGTTATGGGAAAAAACTTGAAGTGGGTTTGAGACGAGGTTTTCTCCAAAAACAAGCGATACCGCGGGAAATACTCCAATACTTTTACTTGAGTAGAAGTTTTCATGTGATACTTTTACTTTTACTTGAGTAACAAAACTGAGTACTTCTTCCAAATCTGAAAGTGACACAAGACGAAGCACATTTCTTTTGGTCCATTTTCTAATTTTCTATGTCTAGAAAACAGGACCATTTTTTTTCCAGGTTCTCCAGGTTCTCCAGGTTCTCCAGGTTCTCCAGGGTGTGTGGGAACGCCGACAGGTGCAGCTCCTCATTATCTCCAGATCAAAGTGTTCACCTTCAGATGTTTGAAACCAGGACAAAGAGTCTCTGGAGAGAAGAAGAACCAGAGCTGATCTCCAGACTCACATGTTCCTCCAGGTTCTGCTCCTTTTTCTCTCTGAACTTCTGACGTTTATTTGGACTGATTCATGTTTGAGGAAGTTTTAATCTCTTATTTTGTCATTTTAGTCCTGGTTTAGTCCTGGTTTAGTCCTGGTTTAGTCCTGGTTTAGTCCTGGTTTAGTCCTGGTTTAGTCCTGGTTTAGACCTGGTTTAGTCCTGGTTTAGTCCTGGTTTAGTCCCGTTTTAGTCCTGTTTAGTCCTGGTTTAGTCCTGGTTTAGTCCCGTTTTAGTCCTGGTTTAGTCCTGGTTTAAGTCCTGGTTTAGTCCTGGTTTAAGACCTGGTTTAGTCCTGGTTTAGTTCTGGTTTAGATCTGGTTTAGTCCCGTTTTAGTCCTGGTTTAGTCCTGGTTTAAGACCTGGATTAGTCCTGGTTTAGTTCTGGTTTAGTCCTGGTTTAGTTCTGGTTTAGTCCTGGTTTAGTTTTGGTTTAGTTCTGGTTTAGTCCTGGTTCAGTCCTGGTTTAGTCCTGGTTTAGTCTTGGTTTAGTTCTGGTTTAGTCCTGGTTTAGTTTTGGTTTAGTTCTGGTTTAGATCTGGTTTAGTCTGGTTTAGTCCCGTTTTAGTCCTGGTTTAGTCCTGGTTTAAGACCTGGTTTAGTCCTGGTTTAGTTCTGGTTTAGATCTGGTTTAGTCCCGTTTTAGTCCTGGTTTAGTCCTGGTTTAAGACCTGGATTAGTCCTGGTTTAGTTCTGGTTTAGTCTTGGTTTAGTTCTGGTTTAGTCCTGGTTTAGTTTTGGTTTAGTTCTGGTTTAGATCTGGTTTAGATCTGGTTTAGTCCAGTTTTAGTCCTGGTTTAGTCCAGTTTTAGTCCTGGTTTAGTCCTGGTTTTAGTCCTGGTTTAGTCCAGTTTTAGTCCTGGTTTAGTCTGGTTTTAGTCCTGGTTTAGTCCAGTTTTAGTCCTGGTTTAGTCCTGGTTTCACACTTGTTTCTTTATGAAGTTGTTTTAGCTCAAAATTAGATTTTAATTTAGAAATTAATTTAGATTAGAATTTAATTTTAATTTAAAAATGTCACAGTTAGAACAGAAGGATCCACAGGGGTCAGAGGTTTGCATGTTCTCCCCGTGGCTCACATTTATTTATTTATTTATTTATTTATTTATTTTTCATGTTTAATTTTTCCTGATGTGTTGAATATTCAGATTATTGAACTGAACCTGGGACACTTTTTTTAACACGACTTTTGAAGGACAGAATTGAATCTAGAATAACTCCAAGGTTTTTAAAATGTATTTTCATTTAATAATTATTAATTATTTAATCATTTAAAAGTTCTGTTCCAATAAGAAAAAAACATTTGATATTTTCAGTTCGGTGTCACGTTTTGAGAAATAAGAAATAAGAAAATAAGAAACACACAGACTGATTTTTTTTTTTTTTTTTGGGTCTGGTTTGGTCTCCGTGGAGATAGAAAAGATTAATGCCACACTGAGGAACATTCCAGATAAAGCAATAACAATGACATGTCCACGGAGAAAAGTGTTTGACGAATCCTCCAAAAAAAATGGAAAAACGACCCAGTGCAGCTTTAACTGTGACTCGGAGGCGTTTCCATTCGTCCCTCGTGTCTGTTTTTGTGACTCGTCCTTCACAGCTGCTGCAACGACCCCGACGCACCACCAGAGGGAGACGAGCGCACACCGAGTCCCCCGAGTCCCCCGAGTCCCTCCGCCGAGCGCACACCGAGTCCCCCGAGTCCCCCGAGTCCCCTCTGCTGTGTCCCTAAACCGTGTCCCTCCAACATGTCCCTCCACCGTGTCCCCTGCAAAGTCCCTCCACCATGTCCCCTCCAACATGTCCCTCCACTGTGTCCCTAAACCGTGTCCTTCCCCCCGTGTCCCTCCACCATGTCCCTCCACCATGTCCCTCCACCATGTCCCTCCACACCCGTGTCCCTCCTCCACCGTGTCCCTCCACCACCGTGTCCCTCCACCATGTCCCTCCACCATGTCCCTCCACCGTGTCCCTCCACCGTGTCCCCTCCAATGTCCCTCCACCGTGTCCCTCCACCGTGTCCCTCCACCGTGTCCCTCCACCATGTCCCTCCACCGTGTCCCTCCACCGTGTCCACCGTGTCCCTCCACCGTGTCCCTCCACCGTGTCCCTCCACCGTGTCCCTCCACCACCGTGTCCCTCCACCGTGTCCCCTCCACCATGTCCCCGTCCCCCACGTGTCCCTCCTCACATCAGCACGTGTGTTCAGCCTCTGACAACACCTAAAGACACTCTGTCCTCACGTCCCCCCCCCCGCGTCCCCCCCCGTCACCACCAGGGGGCAGCGCGGACGCTTCACCCCCGACCGCGGCGGCTCCGACCGACCGGAGAGAAGAAGAAGAAGAAGAAGAGGAGGAGGAGGAGGAGGAGGAAGGTCGTGAGGAGAATCGCAAAGAGTAAATACTGCAATGAAGAGAACAAACACACACACACACACACACACACACACACACACACACACACACACACACACACAACACACACACACACAGGGACGCGCACATGGACGCGCACACACATTTGTTTATTGCCGTCGTCTTTCACGCACGTTTAACGCACAAACCTGCAGATTTCAGAAAAAAGGAGAGAAAGAGGAGGAAGAGGAAGAGGAGAGGAGAAGGGGGCAACGGAGGAAAGGAGGAAGAGAAGAACGAGGGACTGAAGGAGGAGGAGGGAGGGGGAGGGGACACTGCGCCGCTTCATCTTCACATGTGGCTGTGGGGGAGCGGCGGCGGCGGCGGAGGAGCGTGTGATATTTTATAAAAACGTGTGTTATATTTACAGAAAAACACCAGATAATCTTGTTTATTTGTTTCAGACCAGGCTTTTATTTGAGACCAGGCCGCAGTTTGGGGCACGAGATTCATCCCTTTCTCACAAAAACTGGGAAAATCTGGCGCTCACAGGGTTCTCACGGTCATGGAAATCCTGGAAAAGTCATGGAGTTTTAGGTTCTGTTTACACGAGAACGTTTGGGGGTAAAAACGACAGAATATTTTAAGGGAAGTGTTTTTCGTTTAGACGGTGTTGGTGTTTTTGAGGC